ATTTGGGTCCAACTGGTTTATGCAGTCTGTCCTAGACCCCTTCCTGGTGTGGTTTAAGTTAAACCAGAGTCCTCGAGCATCCCAGATGCTTTGCAGCCCTGGGCTGTGCTGTCTGCTCCAGAGAGCAGAGCTGGCCTCACCCCCCTGCTTCCTAGCCAGAGCTTTGGCGGAGAATACAGGCACAACAAGGTCTGCCTGGCTTCCCCATGCCACCCCCCATGACTGCTCACTGCTCAAGCAGGAATCCCCCACCTCCCTCCCTCCCATCCTCCGCAGCATGGACCCCAGCCCCACGGACCCTAGGCACATGGTATGCTAGTTTAGTGTTTCTCACTGGTGGGACACAAAGGTCCTGTAGGTAGGACTTCAACTCATTACCCGATTTAAAAACTCTTTGTGAGCAGGCCCTCTCTGCCATGGCAACGGTAAAAATGAAGGAAAGAACCCGTCTTCAACTAAAAGCAGCTCTTCTAGTCACTAATTCAAACATTACCCCAAGAATTGACATACTTGTTAATGAAACACAACCACAGGTTTCTCAATAATTACTACATTATTATCTCATTTCTGCTAATAGAATTATTTTTTTTTGTTTTCTACAATTACAGCAATTAAACATTCTCAACAAAATTATTGCAGTTTCTAGTTTTTAGTTTTTAATGTCCTTAGCATTTTCTATTAATGATTAATATAATACTAAAATGCATGTAAATATAAAAATACACTTCTTGTAAAAAGCGGGGTTTTGTTTTTACCATGGCAGGACCAGGCAGGGGTGACGTGTAGGGGGTGCACATGGGTAGACGTGCACCTCCTGCAAAAAGGAACCTGCAGGCGGCTGCCACTCACCACCCTGCCACCGAGACTGCCGGCAGCATCTGTGGGCAGTCCATGATTCCTACTGGCCGCTGCTGACCCTGCCGTCAGTGCCTGTGGGTGATCACCAACCCTGGGTCAGTGCTCGCCACCCCATCCCCCCACCAGTGCCGGTGGCATCTGCGAGAGCTCCCCCACTTACTGCTGCCGCACTCCCACCGCCACACTCCCGCCACCGCCATGCCTCCCCAGCCACTGGGGGCATGCGCCATTCATGTGTCCAGGGTTTTTTGACAAAATGGTTGGTGGGACATAAGGTGCAAAAGGTTGAGAAGTGCTGTGCTAGCTGATGCTGAGAGGTGTCTGTGTTTCCAATTTCACTGGGACAGGCAGAACAGTGTCCACTTAGGGCTTTTTGGAGCTAATCAACATATAGGCGACTGGTGCCACCTTAGTCAGGAGGGGCGCTTGCCCCCCCCCCCCCCCCCCCCCACCCTCGGGGC